TACCCTTTTTTCATGAAAGGACTCGTGCGCCCATCATGAGAGAGGGGAGGATGGAGAGTGAGGAGGACTCCAGCAGCAAAACAGCGCTTTCCAGATGGAAATACCGGTGTTACGTCGAGCTGCGTTTCCCCATCAGATACGGTTTCCCCTGCATCTCCGCACAGCGCGGCGGCACGATTCACCGCACAAGCGACAGGAAACGTGCATGCTCGCTAAAGGCGCGTAACAGCCGCCCTGTGCTCGCGCCACAGGAGAACTATGGAGAGCGTGAAGGATCATTAGATAGATAGATAGATAGATAGATAGATAGATAGATAGATAGATAGATAGATAGACAACCCAAACACAGGATTTCAGAATTAGACACCCCCAGTTATTAATTTCATACACTCGCAAAAATAACGCAATAGTTACTTTTACTACTAACTAGTTACTTTTATTGTGGAGTAACTCAGTTACTAACTCAGTTACTTTTTGGGAGAAGTATCTAGTAACTATAACTAATTACTTTTTCAAAGTAACGTGCCCAACACTGCTTGCGGCATACGCTGGTCTAAATAATCAAGGTGTGACACGGCCTTTAAATAAGGCCCAATAGAGTAAAAAGCAGGTTCTGAAGCTCATCAACTGTTCTGATGTGGGAATTTTTTTTATTCCAAAAATGTTACTGCTTACACTAACATCGCAAAGGGCTGGGCTGCTGCAACATAAGTTATACTGAGATGTTTTTTATAATTGACTACCCCCAGTGCACCAATGCTTGTAAAGCTGCTTTTGCATCAAATTTAAATGTGAGAAACAGCAAATAAGAATTCACTCTCGAGACTTTAGTATGTTTTTAAAAAATGCAATTAAGTGTGCTATTTTTTATGCCTTAAAATTAATAAATTAAAGGCCCAGCCTAAGTTGAAAGGATTTCAAAGCCAGGTTCACCAATCAAAATTACTCCAAAAGCTGATTAGTAGATTATCCAGGAGGGAAAAGAAGAACCAAAATATCTTAAGCTCCTCAGGCCTCATTTAAATCGGTTAAAACCAGAGTTCATGATTTAACAATAGGCTAACATTTCCACGTTAGACTGGATATGTTGTGTTTTATTATGTGCGTCTTAAGTTAATGTGTGCTTTGTTTGATATCGGAAACATTTTTATTTTAACTCTTTAATTGTAGCAAAATGTAGAAAAGATCTGGTTTGGTATTTTTCACCAAGATGGTTCCAATATTTGAACAGGGCTGGTGTTGGTTTTAAATTTGAGCCAGGTTGGATTTCCACAGGCAGAGTCAATACTTTGGTTTTTAGACACGCACAGCAAGTATCTGTGCTCAGGACCTGAAACAGAAAGCTTCTACATCCAAGCTGATAGATCATCAATTTAGCTTTAACAGAAAGTCGATGTTTATAGAATTCTATAAATATTTCAGATTTATAAACCTGAGCACCAGCTCTGTACTAGAACCAAGGCTGCATTGCTGGAAAGTAACACTAGTTATCCTCCTAATAAGCTGAACTAAGCCAAAGAGAAAGCACGGCCTGGACATATCTGTTGTTGTTGGCAGCTGGCTGAATAGTTACGTTTCCAAGGGTTGATGCAATGCACTAAAAGTTTATGGAGATTCTAATATATCCAAATTTTACACAATTGCTTAAAAAACATTTGAACAATCAAATGCTTAGATTCTTCCACATCATGCATGCAATATTAACTTTCTTCTGAATAAATAATCATTCCTTTGATTTCTTTGATTTTACTTATTT